TTAAATCAATTAATCAAGCAATCAGTCACTCACCCATCCACGTACCTAAACAACCACTCATTCACTTAATCAATCAATCAATCAATCAATCCGATCAATTTTCAATCATGGTCATTATTACACCCAGGACATTGCATTTAGGACCTTCATATATTTATTTATTTCATTAAATAATGTATGCATGTTTGTGCTGTCTTCCATTTCCCTTCTCTCACGAGACATAGAACTTCTCATCGCTCTACAGATACGTTCAGAATCTGACGCTTGACGCTTGATCTTGATTTACTAATTCTGGCAACACCAACACACATAGTTTGAATTCTGGCAACAGAATTAGGCTCGATCACCAATTCGCCATCATATTTTCGCTGAACACGGAGACGAAGGATGGAACTATAGTTTAGGCATTGAAAGCCGTGGTTCTAGTATTAGTAATAAAATGCTAAAATCTGGCGTTGTTAGTGGCAGAACTGGATGAAAAATCATTGTAAGATATTGTTAGTAGTGCACAGTAGGCGAAAATACTATTTTTGAAGATAGAAGTGTTACAGTACTAAAGTGCATTAGCGCCGCCTAGGCTAGTAGGCCTAGTAGTAATAGCCGTCTCTAGTCATAAGCTCCTCTAGTCTAGGCCTAGGTATACCTTAGGCTAGGGTAGGCCTACCGGCCTCTATGGCCTACCCCTAGCTAGGCTTAGCTTACTTTCGTATCAACGTCTCCCAAGCAATCTCTTCTGAATTGATCAAATGTTCCTTCTGATTTCAATTGCTGGAGCACATCATTTACTAGTATAGGGTCCGCAACATCTGGTGCAGCGTCCATTATTAATAATATTATCAATAATTACACCTCCCGAAACCAAATTACTCCAAGCAATCCCTCATCTTTCAAACATCTCTCCAAAACCAAAACCAAATCAAAATTCCGTACCGTACGTCTCCTCCAAACTCAGCAGTCAAGCGCCCTCTGTTGTCCTGCATACATAAAGTTTTCCCTTCCCCGTCAAAGATGTCCCCTTATACTGGTTAATATTAATTAGCCGATACTGTATATTTCCCCGCATTCCATGGAAAGATAATCTCCTTAATATGGATGTCCTCTCAACAGAGGGGTTTTATTGTAGGTGCAATTCTGTGCAATCTTAAGTCGTCGGGTCGATCCGATTTCCATTGAAAGGCCATGTTTCAAGAAGGAGCAGCTTAGCTCAGTCGGCTGATCTGGTGGTAGAAATTATGTGTGCGCTGAACCGTGGAGTTATCTAGGCTCCGGTTCATTTCCAATCGCCGCCTCTCCTTGTGTTCCAGTTGGAGGGCTGAAATACAAGTTACAATAGCCGTCTTTCGGATGATACGTTTTAGCCATTGGTCCCGTGCACGTCAAAGAACACAGTAGGACTACACTCTTTTCATAGCCTGGGTGGGTGCAGTAGGAAATTAGCGGGAAAAAAGTAAAGGAAAATTTATTTTTGGTTTTTCTGAATTAGTATATCATATAGTGTCTCAGAAAAAAAAATCCCCATTCTTAGAGCTTGGGCAACTTTTTTTTTTTATAGCACTTTGAAATTTTGACAAAAAATATCCTATTTTGTACTAATTAAGATGGGCGTAGGGCCGGGGGAAATAAATGTAGGCCTATGTTTTTATTAATTTTTGCATATGCTGTGTATATCAAATGTAACTAGAACTTGGCTAAGTTACTCTTCACTCTCGTTAAAAAATTTAATCGGAATGATGACGTCATCACAATAAATTCCAAGATGGCTGCCATTTTGGCGGTAAAACATTTTTATATTATGTAAAATTAAATTTATTCTTATCAGAGCAATTTCAAAACAATTTTATACATACAACAATCAAATAAAACATATATACACACACACACATATGTATATGTATATACATACATACATACATATATATATATATTATATATATATATATATATATATATATATATGTATGTATGTATGTATGATGACGAGGAGGACGAGAATGAAGATGAGGACGAGGGTGAGGATGAGAGGGATGATTCTCATCATTCATCGTCATCATCCTTCTCATCAATCATTTTCTATCTTTCTCATCACCATCATCACAACCATTATCATCAACACCATTATCATCAATTATCAATCAATCAATCAACTTTTATTTCAGAATATCCTCCATAACAAATACAAAAATGGAAAAGATAAATAGTATTACAGACTGTAGGCAGTTAAAACCTGCTCAATACAAAAGTGTATTCCATTTGGAAAACATAGTCGAGTAATATCACCAGGCTGTTTTCAGAAGCATATATATCCTTTTCATAAAAGAATAAACTGATTTTCTTACAAATTCGTAAAATGAAAGTAGCCTGCACGAACAAACATTGCACTTGCACTACTTGCCCTGGGCTTACCAAGCAATAACCTTAAAGCATTGTTATAGCAAACTCTTAATTATAATCACCATCATCTTCTTCCTCACCATCATCCTCATCTTTCTTCTCCTCATTATCATCAACAACATCCTCCTTATAATGGGGATTATAATGAGAATGGGGATGACAATGAGGAAGATGATAATAATAATAATAATAATAATAATAATAATAATAATAATAATAATAATAATAATAATAATGACATCAGTATAGTAAGAATAACAGTACTAACGCTAATATTAATGTCAATTATAAACTATAATTTTTTTTAAACGCATAAGAATAATAATATACTATATTAATAATATTATAAAGTAAAGACATAATAGTATAATAATGATGACAGAAGAAAAATGTAGTGTAGAAAGATTAAATTTAAATAGGTATTAACATTTCCTTTAATTTTGATTGTTGTAGTCTTGGAATTTGGTGGGTTGACGTCATCATTTCAAATTTGCTTGGGAGGTGGGGAATTCCCATCAGACAGGCCTAGACTCCCATCATGCCACGACAAGGCCGCCACACCACAATAATGATTTGCTTATCCATAAAACATTATTTGATTGCCAATCCCTAATATTTTGGCTTATAAAAGCAAAATTTTGGGCCATACCAAGCTAAAAAAAAAAACAAAAAAAACTCTCCCACAAGCCCAGAGATGTTTATTCCGGGAGGGTCTAGTCGGCCCTGTGTTTGGACCCACCCTATGAGACCCCTGGGGCCTCTACTAAACGACTATAAGGGGTAAGTATTTATCAAAGGTCTGTCAGTTTTTAGTTATAGAAAAAAAACCCCTTAAAGTGACTAAAAACGTAAACATGTCTCCCATACCCCGATTGAAAAATTGGTATTTTAAAGCAAAATTTCACTATTTCTTTTTTATCGTTGTGTTAACTTTGTATTAGTTCATTAATTATATATAGGGCCTATATTTTTTTTTAAATTCCTGTATGTAAAATATTGTATTGAGATTGTAATGTTTGTACTTTGATAAAAATAAAATTATTTTTAGACTGTGTTTGGACCCACCCTATGAGACCCCCCTGGGGCCTCTACTAAACGACTATAATGGGTAAGTATTTATCAAAGGTCTGTCAGTTTTTAGTTATAGAAAAAAAACCC